AATATAAACAATATGCACGCTCTATAGCCTTATGCTCCTAATTTGGTTACATTAGCTCATAGTAATTAATTAGTGGCATCTTGGCGGCGTGGCACATCGTCAGGGGTCAGAATCGCACCATACATGCATCTGACAAATGTCTGGGAGTGTGTCTCAGACTTGCAGGTCGTCAGGGGCAGATCAGATACCTTCCGGAGTGTCCAGGTTGCTAGGCGCAGTATGGGTCCCATGGCGCAGTCACAGGTCAAGATTGTTACATTCTCTCCTCCTTAGAATTCGACGTCCTTGTTGATTCAAATTCTTGGAGTTTCTTTTGAGCGTTAGTGAGATTTTCTTGGAGTTCCCAGGTGGTGGCATGTAGTGGGTATCCAGTCCATTTGACGAGATATTGGAGCTTGTTTTGGACAACTCGTTTGTCAAGAATGGTTTCCACTTCATATTCTTCTGTTCCAGTCTCAGGGATATGGGTTGCTGGTGGTGGTATTGGTCTTTCAAATTCCTTTGGTGATGGCTTGTATGGTTTGAGCAGAGAGACGTGGAACACTGGATGGATTTTCAGTGTGGCCGGCAGTTCCAACTTGTACGCAGTTTCTAAGATTACTTTGGCAATGGTGTATGGTCCAGTGAATCTTGGTGTCAACTTCTTTGTAGGACGGTCTATCATATTTCTTTTCTCGTTTGTATTCACTATTTATATAGTTTATTTTCACCTTAACAATAGGTGGGATATATCTTATCATTATTTTTAATAATATTTTGAATCTCATGCAATTTTCTGCAATTCTGTTTGATTTCAATTTTTGAAACCATATACCAGACACATACTTCACAACTCTACTTTCACTACCAGATAATTCAAATGATTTTTTCAAGAATCTTTTCTATCATTTTCCTATCAAAAGAAGAAGTGACCTCAAAAACTTGGACTTTAAATTAAGAGAAATCAAAAGATTTTACACAGTTCTCTTTAAAATCTTTCAATTTTATTTTGATTTTTCTCCTCTCAAGTCTCTTCTGTCTCTTGATCTTGAATTTCTTGATCTAGAATTTAAACAATATTTTTTCTTAGATACTTCAATATATAGTATTAGTATGGTTATTCAAAAACTTAAAATCCAAATATTTCTTCAAATATCTTTCCACACACTTCTTAAAATTTAAAAATTTCTTATCATAAGAACTACTATTGATTTAAGAAAATCTCTTAATCCTAAACATACAAATTCCTATAACCAATATCTCTGATACACAAAATTTTATCAATTATTTAAAATTTGATTTCTTCTTCTTTTTTTCTCTTGGCTCCAATAGGTCTTTCTCAATATCTTTCAAACAAACAAATACAAATTACTATTCAATATCTTTGATGTTAATTCAATACTAAATATTGATCAATATATTACAAGAGATAAAAACCTTAAACAAATAATCAAAGACCTATACAATATTTATAAATTCCAAAAAATTTCAGAAAATTGGTTTTAGGTTTCCTTGATACTACTTCCAGAAGATTCAGCAGTTATTAATCAAATCTTGGAAGAAAGAGAAATTCTCTTACCAAGTGTTCTTTTATCTGATAATGATTATCTCTCTACAAATATTCTTAAACTTCACAAAATCTTCTCTTTTAACAAACTCCTTGAATCTCTTATAATTAAAGAGATGTTCCCTGAATCAGAGTTTTCTTTTATTATCTTTCTTTATTAATTTATCTTATGATTAATAAACTTAACAATCCTAATACTTCAACCAATAATTTTAACTCAACTCATAATTATTTTCTTCCATCCAACCTATTATTACACAACTTATATAACTATACAACTCCTTCTTATTTCAAATAATTAAAACAAAACAAAAAATCTAATCACTCTTATTACTATTAACACTAGAGGACTCAATAATTCCATCAAACTTCAAACTCTTACTAACAATATAAACAACAGATCTATTCTAATGTATACAAAAACAAAATTAAAATTTGAAGACTGCCATCTCAAGAATATTAATGGCAGAACCATTATCTATAAAAATTAAATATTGAAAAAAACAGTACTCTATTAATAATTAGAAAAGACTTGACTCCTCACATTTTCAAAATTTTGCACAAGCATAATTCTAAAACTCAAAAGAAAAACCAACATTCTATTAATAGCTATTTATCTTTCTCATGGAATCCAAAAAAAAAAACAAAGCCACCAAACAACTTTATCAGATCACTAAATTTACAATTCGTTATAAACTTTATCATATTATATTAGAAGACTTCAACTCTTATTCCAAAAACAGCCTGTCCATCAGAGCTTCATCATCACTTAATAAGCAACTGGTCTACAAACTTCTGAATAATTATATGAATATTGGTTATCAGTTTGACAAAAGAGTATTTACTCACATCACTATTACAAGCACTTTTTGAATTGATCAAACATGAATGTCAAGAAACTTTGCCTCAAAAATAATCTGATATAATGTTCAAGCCACAGACATTATCCCTACTGATCACAACACAGTTTCAGTCAAACTAGATTACTTCAAATTCCAGAAAATAAAACCTATCTACAAATTCAATATTGACAAAACACTTAAGAAAAAAATTCATAACCTTATTAATAAATTAGACTTCTGGTCAGACCTGTTATCCATACCAGATTAGAAAAGCTTCAATGAAATCTGCAAGAATTCTTTAAACAAATATATCAAAAAAAAGCTCAAAAAAAAAATCAAAAAAATAAACAAAATCATGATTCAACTCAAAAACAACCATTTTCCATTTAATTTAAATCCTGAACTTAGTGAACTCTATAAATTACAAGCCACCACAGTAAAATCTTAATCAAAGGTTTACAAAAGCTTAAAAAACTTTTAATCAAAAAAGCATTAAGCCAATCTCAATAAAAACTTATAGAAAAGTATCATTCCAATATAAAAAACCTAGTCAAAAACTTTATAACAAATTCAAAAACTATATCTAAAAAGTTTTGGAATCAATTAAACCAAAAATTAATCTCCATTAAATCCATAATACTAATGATTAAATCAAAAATGATCCAAAAAGATTTAAGAAATAATTAACAAATATTTCAAAAATATCCTGGGAGAAAGAAACTTTGACTTGAACAAATTTTTAAACTGGCATAAAGTATACTTTATCAAACTAATCAACCAAAAAATATATAGCAATTTAATCCAACCTTTTGACTTCACAACTATCCATGAAGCAATACACAATCTTTTCAAAAACAAAGTCTTTGAAATGTCTGAAATCAGCTATAATATTATCAAACTCATGGACAAAAAAATTATCTTCACATTTCTACTATTTTCAATCACATTCTAATACCTTTATATATCCCTAAATCATGAAAACAAACTATTATTATGCTTATTCCCAAAAAACTCACATGAAGCTACAAACTTAATGATACTAGACAAATATCTCTGGTTGCCTCAATCAAGAAAGTATTTATAGAAATTATCAACAAAAGACTCTTCAAAATTCTTAAAAATAATAATATTCTTTTTGAATTTAATTGTGCTAGTCTACTTAACCAAAGCACCATGAAACTATTATCAATGAGAAATTCTGTTCTACAAGTTGCTAATACAAATAACAAGAAATTTTAGATTGCATCACTAGATATAACTAAAACTTTTGACTTAACACTTATCTTTACAATCAAAAAATCACTCGAAAGAATTAACTGTCCAAGTTTTATCATCAACTTATTCATAAATGTGCTTAGTAACAGAAAAGTGTTTATTAATATTTCTTCTGAAGCAATTAACCCCTTTGCAGTTAATAATGGTATTGAACAAGGCGAACTACTATTTTCTATACTATAGGTGATATTTTACAATCCTCTAATTATATAATTATTCAATCAACAACCTATCCAAAACTACATTGCTTCCAATATACTAGCATACATGGATGACCTTGCACTTATTGCAGATTCAAAATCAAGAATAGAAAATTACCTAATTATTATCAATCAATTTTTTTCAATTAATAACATTACTTGTAACAAAAACAAAACTCAAATTATAAGCAACATCAAGGTAAAACAAGAAATCTTTAACATTATAAAATCCAGCAATTATCAAATACAAGTTTTAAAGTCACATCAAAGTGTCAAATATCTAGAAATGCTTATTTCTCCTAGAAATTTTTTCAAATCCAATAGAAAAGTCTTCAGCCAATTAGTAGATACAATCCTATAAGAATTAAATAAACAAAATTGGAAAGATTAAATCAAACAGCAAATATGTAAATGGGTAATTATGGGAAAGTTCAAATATTTTCTTACAATAATCTTTCTTAACAAATCTATACTTAGCCATCTACAAGCAAAAATTAACAAACTTATTAAATTAGCATATAAAATAACCTCCAAATGCTTAAATGCAATCCTTATTAGCCATAGCAGTCTCAATATTGCATTTTTTAAGGAAAGACAAAGATTTTCTTTAATAGGTAATCTAATAATCAAACTTTTCATTCCAATTACAAGAAAATATAAATACAGGAGATATGATCAATACAAAGAAAAGAAACAATCTGGTCTTGTTCAATATGGAATCCAGAAGTATTCAATCAAGATAATTGAATATTTTATATCACTAGAATTGCCAAGAACCTATAAAACTAAATCTGTTTAACTGAAACTCAATAGGCCTTCTACTAGTCAAACTTCAATCAAACATCAAAACTATTATAATTAATACTGCCAATGCTCTTAATATCCAGTTTACAAATCAACTAATGAAGTTCAATAGCATAATCAAACTCTTCTAATTTCAACTAATAACTTATATAGAAATTATTTGGTGCAAATCAGAACCCTGTTGATTCAAAAACTTTATTAATCACAATAGTCTATTGGGATCTCATGAATTAATATCCAATTACAGATTACTTTTTAACTTATTCACAATACCAACACTATTGTTAAAATATACAAGAGATATTATCATATACAAAAAAATCTTTATCTCAAGAAAAGACACTTTAACATAAATAATAACAATATTCTCACAAAATATGATGATTGTCTAGCTGATATTTCAAGTGCTGGCTTATGTACATTAAACTTCACAAGCTTAGAAATATTCTTTTTGTGTATTCTTTTCAACTTCTCAAATCCTAACAAGTATTATCTAAGCAATATAATCAAAAAGATTTCAAGAACTTTTCAAAAAAATGAACATATTCTTTAATCAATAGATATTTTTTTCAACTTTTCTTCTATATTAACACTTCAGAAAATTAGTTTTTCTCAATTATATCATATCTAATGCCATTGAAGATATATTTTTATTAACAACTTTACAATTAAACTAAATAATTCTGACCTTTCCTCCAGCAATTTTTTGCAAGTTCTCTTTAATTTTTTTCACTAGTGCCCCTCCAACTATGAAATTGAAATAAGAAACAACAAAAGGATATTTCAAGAGACCTCCAACTATTCTAAAAAGATAACAAAAATCAATATTTTTTTAATTATTCAGAAAATTAACAAGATAATATTCAAAAAAATGATTCTTCTTACTTACTCCAGTCCCAAGTCAAATTCAAGGACTAATAATATTATAAACTGAACCAATTCAATATTATATTTTTCAGAAAATTCTTCAATTAACAACTTTTAACTGGGTAGTAGC